TGCTGAGACACGCTGCCTGACACCTGGCCTGACTTCGGCCTGCACCTGCATGCAATCCATCTGCCTCTGATATATCAGATGTCCAGAGCCTGAGTCACTGGTCTGATGTACCTGGTGCCAGGAGGCTGAACAATTGGGGGGGGGGGGGAAACAGCCTATGCAAGTTAGGTTTGCATAGGTTGATTTGCATTGGAAAATTTTTCTGATGCCTTAGGGAGTGCTCTAATTTAGCACATCTGTTTTATTTACTAAACAAAGCTAAAAATGTTTGAAACTGAAAAGCCTGCCTAATATGCCCCATGCCTGAATTAAAGGATTTATGGCCACATTCACACCATAAAGCACTTTGATGCTACATTAAACAGGCATGGCATCTCACAAAGATTCCTGAGATTTGTTAAGGGTGCTGAGGATTATGAGACCTCTATGCACCTCATGAAGCTACGGTTCCCAGTGTTCCCTAGGAAGGAGGATTTGTTATTAAACAACTTTGGGAATTGTAGCTCTGTCAGGGGAACAGGGGTCTCCTGGCAACTCTCAGCATCCTTATCAAACTCCAGCTCCCAGAATTCCTTGGGGGAAGCCATGACTGTTTAAGGGCTGACAGGCCAACAGCAGAAAAATCAGACATGTTGACCTTCAAAAGTACTACAGCTTCCATCATCCCTGACTAGTGGGAATTGTGGTCCCAACAGTATCTTGAAGTCACCACATGGGCAGCCCTTGGTCAACAGCATTTGCTCCATCATCTGACTCAACCTCATGTGAGACAAAACACAGGCAAGGGGCTCCTTGGACAACAGCAGAAGCTTTATCAGACCTGTCCTTAGGCATCTATGTAGAGGAGACAGCAGTTAAAGGGCATAAAGGGGAGTGATTTTGCTGCTGTTGGTGCCAGAGTGAAGGGGTGAAAGAACTACTGTATCTGCCTTTACAGAGGAATTATGCAAGGACCAAGAGTTGTGTCGTCAGTTTAGTGGGACCAACTCTATGGAACTTCCTCCAACTAGAAATCGGGCAGACATTGCCTGTGATAAATCTCTGGATTGGGCTCATCACCCGCCAAAAACTAAAGTCATCATCAGTGTACCTGTTTACAAAGAAGTAAATCCATAGTCACCTGCATTTACCAAAAAAGACAAAAAACAAAGAGCGGAGCGGAGCAGGTCATAAATATTTCAACAGCTTCTCAGCTTTGTTATTCTGTTTAAAGCAGGAAACATGACAAAACCTTTGATTGTTTTACTTAATACCAAATAATAATTCAAAGAGGAACAAACCAGTGTTAGTCAAGGATGCCCAACAGAAGGGTTGTGAGCACAAATCCATGTGCATTTCCTTCTCCTAGCAGCGAAGAAAATGGCTTATCTCATGATAAAAGCTTCACTGTTCCACAGCATGTGGGTGTTTTCTCCCCTCCCAAGAAGGGGGGAAGCAAGGAAAATAATAATAAGACATTTCATCGTTCAAATATAAAAAGGACAGATGTAGGAAAATCACCCTCGGGGAAATTGGCTTCATTTCACTGAAATCCGCAACGGCTTTCATACTTTTCTTCCTTTTTTATGTGTTGTGTTAGAGACACCTGATACACCAATGGTGACTGGTCCATTATTCCACCACCCTCAGTCTACTAACAGCTAGCCCTCACTTGCCTGCCTCCTTACCTACAACCAGTCAAGGGTGTGGCAGCACAACCTGTCAGCTCCCCCCCCCTTAGTCTCAGTGTAAGACCCAGCAGGGAAGAAGATGGGGGTCACAACTACAATTAGCTGGATCTGCTTGTCATTGACTGTTTGGGCTCCCTGCCTTCCTCCCCACCAGTACCAATGGACACCAGCCACCAATGACGTAATCATCATGGTGGAACATAGGGAGCTGCCTGATTCAAGAGAGGACCATTTCTCCACCCAGCCCAGAGTTTTCTACTCTGACTGGCAGCAGCTGTCCAGGACCCTCAGACAGAAGAGCATCTCTCCGATTCTCTCCTGTCTGATCATTTTAAGTGGAGGTGCCACGGATTGAACTGGGAGCCTACTACATACAAATCTGTGTGATCCACCAGCTAGAGCAATGGTCCTTCCATCTGGAAGCAAGCCATTATATAACGGGAAAGCTCCCTCTGCTGCTCAACAGGGCACGGCAAGAACCAAGAGCTGGAGATTGCAGAGAAACAGGCTTCATAATAATAATATTATTTATACCCCACCCATCTGGCTGGGTTTCCCCAGCCAATCTGGGTGCCTTCAGCTCATCGGGAGAAGAAACTTCCTAATGCAAAGAGCTGCCTCAGGAAGTGATAGGTTCTCCTATGCTGAAAGAGCATTCAAATGGCCAGGCAGCCATTTGCCAGGGATGTTTGAGCTGCTGCCGGCATTGCAGGTCCTAGGAACATAAGAAGCTCATCTAGTCCAGTATCCTGTTAACACTTTGGCCAGCCCTTGGGGAAGCCCATGGGCAGGATGTGAGCCCAAGAGTACTATCCTCTCCTGTGGTTTCCGACAACTGGCATTCAGAAGCACTACTGCCCTCTGACAGTGGAGGCAGAACACAGCTATCAGGACCAGTAGCCACTGGTAGCTTTATCTTCCGCAAATTTATCTAGCCCTCTTTGAAAGCCACCCAAGTTGGTGGTTGTCACTGCCCCTTTTGGGAGCAAATGCCACTGCTTAACTACGCAATGTGAAAAGAAGTTTCCTTTGTCGTTTCAGAATCTTCCGTTATTCAGCTTCAACTGGAAGCTGTCCGTAAGTTTAGATCGAGCAAGGGACTAGGTCGATGACCTTCATGATGCCCCTTCCGACTTTGTGATTTGAAAAAGCTCTGCCCGTTCCATCAAGTAGTGCTGATGCTCACCTAAGTAACCCTGTAATCAAACCACGAGGCTCTTGAATTTCATTTGGATTTTATAATACTTTATTTATAGCAGCTTTAAGTATTGAAATTTGCATCCCAACTCCTCCCAAGGTGTTTGAGACACTGCACATGTAGTCACATCCTTTCTTAATAATAATAATAATAATAATAATAATAATTTATTTCTACACCGCCCATCTGGCTGGGTTTCCCCAGACACGCTATGTGGCAGAGCATCTGCTTTGCAGGCAGAAGGTCCCCAGTTCAGTTTCCAGGTAAGGCTGGGAGAGACACCTGCAAGAAACCCTGGAAAGCTACGGCTGCCAGTCAGTGTGGACAATACCGAACTAGATGAAGCAATGTCCTCAGTAGAAGGCAGCTTGCTATGCTCCTGTGTGAGATAGAGCATGATTGGCCTGGGGTCATCCAAGGCTGAGAAAGGACTCAAACCCAGGACTCCTGAGTAAAACAGTCCAACCAATATACAGGTGATTCACATTTTGCCTGAGAGTTTGGTTCTGTGGGTCCACATATATACACAAAAATGTGTAGAACCAGCAACTACCGGAACTGGGCCACACATAAGAAGGCTGCTTACTCAACTTTGGAAAGGAGGTGTGAGGGCATCCCATAGCCCTCTTGCCACCTTCCCAAAGCCTGCTGAGCACTTACCTAGCTTTGAAATGGTGGTACAAGGGCTGTGCCAGCTTCCCAGAGCCTGCTGCCTTCTTAAAGCCCGGTTTTGTATGTTTCTTTACTTCTGCAAACCTTGGGCTTCTCCCCCCACCCCAAGCTTGTCTTTCCATTTATAAAAATTAAAATAAATAAATACAGTGGAGCAATGGACTTATTTTTAAACCCATGCTTCTTATGTTGAGGCAATTCTCCTTTACCATGCATTTGTAACTAACATAGTCAGAATTAACATCCTGTTCGTAAACAGAGTCAGAGGATGAGGACAGGATGATGATGTCACTAGCAGGGACAGCCATGTTTCATGAAGACAGAAGAAAGGAAAAGAAGCCCGAAGAAAACCATGCCTATCTGAGTCTTACGTGGTGACATCTGGCCACCAACTATACAATATCAATATGCAATATCAACATTCAATCGCTACTTAAATTAAGAAAGCTCAATCTGCATTCACAACCTGTGCTAAATGCTCTTGTTTAAATTGCAGGGTGACACCTGAAAAGATCCAGATCAGCCACAGTAAGACAATGATGATGGGTCACATAAAAAACCCCAAACTATAAAGCCGAAATTAATTCTTTAGACATTATTTTTACATGCACACATGCACATTGTTGGGTCAACATAATGTAGGGGTGGGAAGCCTGTTGAACTGTGGCTGCTGCTGGACTACAACTCCCATCAGTCCAGATTATTCCTGGTACTGATGGGAGCTGGTGTCCAACAATATCTGGGTGGCCATTGGTTCTCCAACCCTGGTTTAATGGAAGGAACCAATGCCAACAGCTCCACTTAGACAAGTACAGTGGTACCTTGGTTTGCATATGTCATGGTTTGCATATGTTTTGGATTACAAACACATCAAACCCGGTTTGCAACTTTTTTTTTTATTACAACCCTTTTTTATTATTAAAAACAAAAAAAAAATTTGGAGGCCCCATTGGCGAAAGCGTGCCTTGTGTTACAACCTGTTTTGGTTCACAAACAGACCTCCGGAACAGATTACGGTTGTAAACCAAGGTATCACTGTAGTCCTGAAGTATGTCATAGAGTGAGAACTTAAGGACTACTTTCTGCATCAGATCAAGGACTTCTGAGTCTTCAGGTGCCCTGGGAAGCCCACAATCATGGCATGGAGCCAACAGCACTCCCTTGTTATCCATCCCCAAGAGCTATTACTCAAGTGATCTATGAGGACCGTGAATGTGGAAGTCCTGTATTGCCATCAGGACCACTAGCCACCATTGGCAGACTTCCTCGTCCTCCATGAATATGTCAAAACATTTCTTAAAGCCATCTAAACCTAGGTCCAGCTAACCCAGCATTCAACTTCCAACCAAAGTCAACTCACATGATGCTGGGCATTCACAAGCAGACCATGAAGGCAATGCCCCCCACCCCTTATGAGGGAAAGCTCAACATTTCTCAAGTCCCGCCCCCTCCACACTCACCTCCGGAAGTGGCATCCCATTGATGATGAGATCTGGCTGCTGAGGGCTCTGGCCGGTGAAGGTGTGGTGGTAGATATGGTTGGACCCCGTGTTCCTGTTGTTTTGGTTTTCTACGTTGAGGAAAGTGCTTTCAGATCGGCGGCAACCCAGAGGCAAGGTCTGCTGGTGGTAGTCAAAGTAGTTGAGAGATGACGTGAGGGAGGAGCAACTCACAACATTCATTTTATCGGTCTCCTCTACATCCCGTGGCACCAGGCGGATGTCATTCTTGCTGATTTTTTTCTTCTTGTTCGATTTCTTTTGGTGCCCATAGGAGTACTCTGCAATTCTGCAGGACACAAGAAAGCAAAGTGAGTATCTTACTTCATCCTCAAAAAAAGACTGTATACTAGTCAACAGAGAATCCCAAAGGACTGGTTGCCCATCCACCTGCAGGGTCATCGACTTGGCTCTTGTGATAACGGAGGGTCTTTATTTTTTCACAGGCATAAAGTTTGTTGGTCAGACACATAAAGACAACAAGTGAGGAATAAGGACACACACACAAAAAGTTCCCTTGGCTTTGTCTGCTGCTTAGAATTGTTGATATCTAGTTACCAGAGATATAGTTCAGCCTGCAGAAAAGGGAAGAAAATAATTTATGTAAAAATCCATGAAGTGAAAAGTGAATGCATTTCCATTGGTAATAAGGATCTGAAAAGTTATTTAAACGGATTAATATAAAACGTGAAAAGCAGGGAGAGAGGAAAAAAACCAGCAGAGAAAGGAGCAGTTCTATTTGCAGTTCCCAATAGCAATAAACCTGACACAAACATTTTGCCCGACCTCCCCTGTAGGTGTGTTGTAAATCTATCAAATGCAAACTTGTGAACAGCCACTTGTCTGGTCACCTGCGGTGAGTAAAACAGTGGCCACAAAGTCGGGTGACCTTTTAAAGCAGTTTGGTGGGCCAGTAAGCATTTCTGTGGGCAAGTCGTTTTTGTGAACTTGTGGACCAGGATGCAACATCCGTCTTGAAAATGTTATTGCATCTGTAGACTGCCTTTTCTTTTCAGTTTCGTTTCTCCTCATCGCATCGGGCCAGTCAGAACCTTTCCCCCAATGCCAGCTCTTTCCTGCTCCCTTCAAACTTAACATTCCTGTTGGCTACTGTTTTCGTTTTGTTTGTTTTTTGGCAGACAAAGGTGTTGGCGCTTCAGAAGGAGAAAATTATCTTTTTGACCTTCAATCGGTTTACAGAATGTAGGTCTGCTTTGTCTCTTGTACACAAGGAAAGAAGGTAAAGAGTGGGGGAGACAGAGGAGTGGAGTTATCAGTAAACAAGGACCAGAAAAATAATTAAAAACATGACCGCATTCAGCGTTATCTCAGTAAGTCTAGATTGAAGTAACCGTAGCTTGGTATTACCGTTGGGGACTGTGTATCGTTATCAGTGCCACACAGATGTAGATATGCAGAGAAGATGCCAGGCACTGCAGTCTTCCGAAAGAAATCAGTTCAACTTTAAGCAAGGCCTGAAAATACTTGTTTCCAAAAGTGGGGTCCACTTAACTTTCAGAATTGCCTGGCTTGAAAATCCAGGAACTGTAATGATGAAACCACAAGAGGAAGTAACCTGAGAGGATCTTTCCACCTTACATAAGGATATTGCTTATATTCTTACTTAATTGATAGCAGGGGAGTTTGACCAGGGTGGCGAACGACACTAAGCCAGAAAAAGTATCTTTACCTCTCATCACATGCCTCGAGTGAAAGAGCACTTTTTATTAAACTCCCCTGGCACATTTGTGTTTATATAGCTTCACTGAAATATAGGACACTTTAAAGAGCAATGCAACCCAGGATGGAAGGGAGGAAAGAAGGAAGGAAGGAAAGTTTGCCTGTTCCCAAGGTATTATCATGTAAATTTCCTGATAGTAGTGGAAAGATATCAAAAGAAAGGGACATATAGTTCTGCATACTGAGTCAGACCAGTGGGCCAGCTATCCCAGGACGAGCTATTCTGCTTGGCAGCAGCTTTTTAATATGTCAGGCAAAGAGAAGTCTTTTCCCCATCACCTGCTACCTGAAATCGCTTGACTGGGGATACCAAGGATTAAACCTCAGGCCTTTTTACATGTTGCAAAAGCTTCTATTCTACCACTGAACTAAAGAACCCTCCCCCAGAGGCAAGGTTAATGGATTACTGAGAGAACAGTGGACTGGAAAAGGAAAGGGTAATAGGAGATGAATGTCAGAAGATGTTGATTTAAAAAAAAAAAGGAGTGGAAGAGAGAGATAGGAATCCAAATTGAACACACTGGAGGTCTGAAAATCAGACACAGCAGGCTGATGTGCAGCCATCAGAACCGAGCCAGTGGGACTAAAGAACACTGCCCAGCTCCTGACACTCGTCATCTCCTCCCTCCGCTCTTTTCCACAGAAAATATACGTTGCACCAAGAATGCTTCTCTCCATTCACTTTCAAAGCTCTTCTGGTGTGGCTGTATAAAGAGCTGGTTTGTTCCTCACTCCGGTCAATAAATGTTCCTCCCAGTGTACATCTCTATACATTTTCGAAAACCCCAGGTGGGGGGGGGGAAGAGATCCAGACACATAAAAATGCCTTAACTGTGTTTGCCTAAATCTTTCAAGTTTGAAAATACAGAATCTAAAATTTTGCCTACACGCATTTGTTCTGCTGTCTTATTGGAGGGTGGTGATGGTGCAGTTTCCTCCTATTGACCAATGATTTAATTAACACACACTTCATTAATCCCTGAGCCATCACACTAAACCAACTGGTTATACAGAAGTGCAAATCTGTTAGTGGCGTTGACACAACTGTAAATTCTTTTTTCCTGCTTATGTTCAGTGCCTGCCCTTGCTTAATGGACCAAGATGGAAAAGAAATGCAGCATATTAGCTCTCATTTAAAAGCCAAGTAGCTCCCTAGAAGAGTACATCTAATGGTTTTATTTTTGCAGCTGATTTTCCCTATGTGCACACACTAACACACATGTACACACACAGGTATGTATGCATCTGTGTGTGCGCGCACACACAAAACCCTGGTGCCCATTGTAAAAATGAATGAAAGAGAAACTCCAAGCTCTCAGTCATTATATCGGTATAAATAAAACTTTAAAAGGCTGCACATTCTCCCAGATTCTCCAAATTGCCTGAGGCATTTGTATGTTTCAATAGAGAGGGCAAAATTAATTTCCATCCCTTCCATCAGAAATGACTTAGGACTGAAGGAAGGGAGAAGTCACGGCTATTTCGCTCGTAACAGGATTAAACCATTTATGAGCCGCCGCAGCTGCTCCTTTATGGCGCCCAATTGATATTCATGTGCGGTTAGCGTTTGTCTACTAACTTGTGCAACACAGAGAATAGCAAGAGACAGACAATAATCGCCTGGCTGTTACATATTCAGGGGACTTCAATCCACATCTTAAGCTTTCAAATACAGGCGGGGGGGGGGGTTCATGGAGAGCCCCGCATCTCGGACTTAAAAAGATCACCGAACAAAAGTGTAACAAAAATAAGACAGCATTATTTTAAGTGTCAGGAAAGAGCTATGGACAACCTTTTGACTTAGCAATCAATTGGGCTTAAAGTTGTGGGGTTTTTTGCCGGGGTGATGAGTAGAACAGATGGCTTAGCTGTTGTTTTCTCTTTGCAAAACCTGCAGCACAATTTCCTAGTGTAAGGAAGCACTCGCCTTCCCTCTCTCTCTCTCTTTCTCAAAAAGACAGTTTTTAAAAAGGCTTCCGTGGAGCATTTCTAGCTGAACCTTGCTTTCTTTCATCTTCTGTTCTGCCAGCTCCCTGTTCCTTACCTCCCAGAGAAAACAAGTGCAGCTCTAAAAAGCACCCACAGTGACCTCATCTGGTGGGGACAGGCTATTGACAGGATTGAGGAGGCCCTTAAAAAGCAATGTCCACCCGTGGCAACTGCCGTGAGTGTGGGTTTATTCATCACTACAGCACCTACTCCCAAACTTCCCCCATGGAGAATCACTCCAGTGATTCTCAAAAAAAAACTACCCTAACAAAACACCCCAGCAATTTGTCACATCCAAGCCTGAGCAGAGCTCCATAGAAGCATATATCCACACCTACATGCCAAAAGGCAACTGCAACCCTTCCCTTGTTCTTTTTCTTGTACTAACATTTTATGTACTTGGGGGGGGTGTGGGACTTCTACACACACACACTTTCCAAAGATAGGTGAAGTACAGATTTAAGACTGATCCCAGCTGGCCTGTTTTAGATTAAGGATAATTTGTGCCAAGCCATCGTATTAGATCCACTTCACTAACTGGGATTTGGGTGGGTGGGTGAACACATTTTTTTAAAAAAGTCGGCCAGGAATTGGCCGTGGGTATTTTATGTGGAGCGACTTGATGCCTTCCTTTGGTTTGCAGTCAATTTTATTTTCTTTTAAATGGCACGCTATAAAGGCCAGGCACTAAATTTTTTTTTTAATTTTTTTTTTTTGCTGGTACCAAGAAACAGACAGACTTTACCTGCAATTGTAGGTCCTGATTTCTTTGTTATCCCGTTTGCACTTTACTGCTACAAAGATCATGGTGACAAACAGAATGGCAGCAATGGAACCCAGGGCGATAATAAAAATCAGGGACAGGTTAACAGATCCTATGGATTCCTGGGCATCCAAGGATGGAGAAAGATATATCAAAATCAAGGCAGAAGCTGAAAGAGATGTTTTCCCATGGTCGTGGGCAACCACAATCAGCTCATAGGCAGTCTTTGAATTTTCCCCAAATGCTCTGGTGGTTCTTATTTCACCATTGACCTGGTCTATCTCGAAAAATCCTCTATCTCCTTCTGCCATCTCATAGGAAAGTCTGCCATTCTCCCCTTCATCATAATCATCTGCCTTGACCACCGTCACCAAGTAGCCAACCCCAGCATTCCTGGGGATGTAAACTTCTGCAGTCCCATTGACTAGAGTAGGAGCGGTTATCACAGGGGTGTTGTCATTGACATCCAGGACAATAACTCGGATAGTGGCATTGCTTTGCAAGGAGGGGTTGCCTCCGTCTTTGGCCAAGACCTTGAACTCAAAAGACTTGGTTTGCTCGTGGTTGAAGGATCTCAAGGCATAGATGTCTCCCGAGTTTGGGTTGATGGAGACATAGGTGAAGACAGGCATGTCCCTGACTTGGGATGGCACAATCTGATAGGAGACGCTGCCGTTAAGGCCTAGATCAGGATCCCTTGCAGAAACTGAAAGGAGGTAGGCCCCAGGGGTGTTGTTCTCCTGCACAATGACCTGGTAGTAAGGTTTGGAGAAATGAGGGTGGTTGTCATTCTCATCTGTGATCTTGACAGTGAAGGATTTGGTGGCCTGCAAAGTTGGGATCCCATTGTCCTTAGCCTGGATGGTGAGGTTGTACTGGTCCCTCTGCTCCCTGTCCAAACGCCCATCCACCAGGATAGTGGAGAAGCTCTCGTACTCTTGCAGGCGGAAGGGCACACTGCCCAACAGTTTACACTGCACCCGGCCATTGGCACCAGAGTCCCGGTCAGATACTCTCACCAAGGCAATAACGTAGCCTGGAGGCGCATTCTCACTGACCTCAACCAACTCGCTGTTGACAGAGAGCAAGTTAATGAGAGGGGGGTTGTCGTTAGCATCCTGCACAGTGACAGTCACCTTGCAATGCGCAGGGATGGAACTGGGGCCAAGATCTTTGGCCTGCACATCCAGTTCGTAGGCATGGCCTTCCTCATAGTCAATTGCACCACTGACCGTGATCAGGCCCGTCTGGGGGTTGATTTGAAAGAGGTCCCTGGCCTTCTCAGACACAAAGCTGTGAATGGAATACAACACTTGCCCATTGGTGCCCTCATCAGGGTCTGTGGCATTGAGGCGGATGACAGGCGTGCCAGGGGGAGCGTTCTCTGGCACGCTCACTGTGTAGGCGGGCTCTTCAAAGAGAGGGTTGTTGTCATTTGAGTCAAGGACCCTGATGTTCAACTCCACAGTGCCAAAGTTGGGTGGGTCACCCCCATCCAAAGCTGTGATCATGTAACTGTAATGAGACTGAGTCTCACGATCCAGGCTCTTCTCAACCACCAGCTCAGCAAAGCGGGAACCGTCTCCACGCACCTTGGTCTCCAAGCCGAAGAGGTCATTGGGCGTGATCTCATAGCTCTGCACCCCAAAGCTGCCCGAGTCCGGATCGTAGGCACTCTCCAATGGTACCCTGGTCCCCGGGCTGGCAGCCTCAGAGATCTCCAGTGCGATTTGGTCTGTGGGGAAGCTGGGCGCGTTGTCGTTTAGGTCTTTGATCTCCAGCTTGATCACACAGATCTCCATGGAGCTGGACATGACCTCCAATGAGATCACACACTTTAGACTCTGCCTGCAAAGTAGGTCCCGGTCAATCTTCTGTTTGGTGACCAGTAACCCTGAGCCTGGGTTGATGTCCACCAGGTGTGGTGCAGAGTTGGAGACCACGCGGAAAGCGGTGGGCTGCCGGGGATCCAGCACAAAGCCTGCGTCTCGGGCATCTTTGGCGATGTTGGCGATGACGGTGCCGGCTCTCTGCTCCTCCTCCACTGAGTACTTGAGGTTGATCAGGGCTCCAGCCCGAGTCCACAAGAGAAGGAGCAGCAAACGGAGCAGTGGGCACAGAATATCCATAGCTCACGGCTCAGTGCACCCACTGCCTCCTCCTCCCCTTCCCTCTTGTTGCCTGTTGATTTTGCGGCTGGAGGAGAGAGGGGGGGATTTGGGCTTACTAGTTTGGGGTTTGTTTCAGCGATAGATAGAAAGAAAGGAGCGAATCAGAAGGAGAGGCAGGGGAGCTGGACAGGGTGGGTGGCTGGGGGTTAATCAGGAGAAGGAAGGGGAGACTTTGGATGTGGTTACTTTAAGAGCTAATTGCTTTTTGCTTCCCTGCCACAAATCTTTCAGCCTCAGTCCCTAGAATAAGCAACACCACCTAAAGATGGGGAGAGAAACATCGAATCCTTATCTTCCACTCAGCCAGGTCAAGGAGAGTTCTAAGTTACAGCACAGCTATATTCAATTTTTTTTTTTGGGGGGGGGGGAATCACAGACACACACACATCCTAAGTGCAGTCTGTATACTGGAGAGGCGCCTCAATTTACTTGCACCTGGCATGCGCAAATCTCTTTCTCTTCTTGCCCCCCTTTCCTTCACTTCCACTCCCTTCCCCCCAAAAATTGTACAGACCTTTATGCAAAACGCGGACTCTCTGGGGGAGCCTCCGCTTGGCGAAGGTGTTCAGATATCCGGAGATTATTATTTTAGAAAAATGACAGTAATAAAGAGCGGCTGAAATCGGGGTGCAGAGAGGGAGGCTAGGCGGAAAGTAAGGCTAGGGCATGCGGAGGAGGGGCCGTAAGGAAGGGGCCACTAGCAGAGGCAAAAATCCTTGTCCGGTCATGTCACACGAGCGAAACTGGCCCTGGGTGGGAAAGGAAGATCGGGCGGATGGGGTGGCCTGGGAGGCGCGGGTGCGGAGAGGAGTCAGCTCGGCAAAATCAGAAGGCAGAGAGAGCGTCTTCTTAGAGAACTGCCGCCGAAGCACCTCCGTGCACTAGATGAGAAAGCGGAGGCAATGTCATCCCCAAATTACAGGCTAAACTAAAGGAGGGGGGGAGAGAGGAAACACAGGCAAGGGGGGGGAGGGCACCCTGGATCACAGTACCCACCTCCTCACCTCGGTGTGCAAAACGAGGAACTGCTGGTGGATGGTATTCCGTGGTTTAAACGGGGGTGGGGTAGAAAGGAAGAAGGAACCACCGCTGACGGCTCTGCGCTGGGCGGGAGGCACGAAGCAGGGCGGGGGGGGGAGGGAGAAAGAATCAAAGGCGCCGCTGTTGCAATCCTTCGCCGGGGAGACTCTCCTTTCTCCTCTTCTCTCTCCCCATGATTATTTCGCGTTCGGCATCCTCCGGGCCGCTAGTCGCCAACGGGAACAAAGCGCAGGCGAGGAAAGTTTGGTTGCAAACCTCATCGTCCTTTTGCAAACTGTGGAGGGAGGAGGGGGAGGAGGAGCGGGGGAACAACTCTGGAGCTCCGGTGGAGCAGGAAGCCAGGTGGAAGAATAAATATAAGAATCCCTTGCAAAGAAGAGCTAAATTGGTGGATGCTGCCCCCCTCTCTCTCTCTGTCTCTCTTTAATGTTAAGTTCTCTGGAAGCCAATCCGCGGCTCCACCAGGCGGGCTGCGGGCGCCTTTGCAGAGGCCAGCCAGACCGCAGTGGCTTGCATCGCTCTCCAGCGGGTCAGCTCCTCGGTCCGCCGCTTCTCCCCCTTTCTTTTCTTTCCTTTTCCCTTCCTTCTCTGTTTCCAAATTTTAAATTTCACTACCCGCTCCCCCTGCCCGACTTTTGCAAGCGCCGGCTTCTGCCTTCCTCCACCACCTCCTCCTCCCCCCACCAACCCGGCGCGCACTGCTGCTGCTTCTTCTGCTGCTGCTGCTATTATTGCTGCTGCCGCTGCTGCAAACTGCTGGCCGCACGCGAGCTAGAGACACAGCGGCTCCGGTCCCGAGCTACGGCAAGGCTTCAGCCAATCGGAGCCCGGGGAAGCGCGTTCCAAGCCGAAGGGGCGGGGCCCGGCGAGGAGGAAAGGGGCGGGGCCCAGCGGGCGAAATGTACAAGAGTGGTACCCAAGGGAGCGAGAGATAAGAGTACCCTTTTCGTGTGTGGGCGCGCGCACGCCGAGGATGCAGCGAAGAGGAGTCACTGCAGGGTTCTCCAGGGAGGCAACTGGCTTCCCCTCTCTCCTGTCATCCCCACCCCCCCCACCCCCACCCCTTTAGAAATATGATGGGGCAAATCTAAGATTTGGATATTTCATTTCGTTCCGTGATTTCCCACCCCCTCCTGTAGGTTTGACTAACGTTTGTAGCGATCAGTGTTTGTTGTTTTGTTTTTCTAAGGCTGTTTTGTGAAAAGCACTTGTTCAAATATCATGAGACGGCTGGGACAAAAATCCCGCAACGTTTTCCTTCCCTTTAAAACTTGCAAGGGCACGGAAACTGCTTGATGATTAACCTGCTTCCACACGCACAAACAGCCTTCTTTTCAGCGCAGAAATAGAGATGGAGATCGGCAAAAGCAGACAGTACTAAGGGCGGCTGGGGGGGGGGGTGCTAAAGAAGTGCTCGCTCGGCTCAAACCCCGCGCGTTTTTACTCAGAACTAAATTTCACTGTGTTGGGTAGGGTTTTTCAGCAGGAGTTAATATTAAGCACACGACGACCTTGTAAGGTAGACTAGGCTAGGAATGGTGCATTTCCCAACAGCTGTGAGCTCCGTTGCTTAGCTGAGATTTGAACCTGTTTCCATGCAAACACCTTTAGCCCCTGACACTATACTGGCTCTCGGAGGCAAATTTAGGGGAGCGCAATCAGTTCGGGTGCACTGGGCGCAGAGCCTCGGGGGCAGCGCAACTATTATTAAGAATGGAGCGCAAGAGGGGGGACGGGTTTGGGCGTCGCACAGCGCGCCGCTGAAATTAGAGACCCCAAGGTCCGCCGCTGTGACTCTTCTCTTTGCTGTTTGAAGCCGGCTACCTGAAAGATAACGTGGTGATTTGGAGAATTATAAGTAGATACTTCTAAGGATGCAGATTCCTGCCTGCAACAAGTAATGCTTATTCTATCGCAACGCACTTAAGAAAAAATAAACAGGCAAACCTTTTATTTTGCAAAAACCATCATGGATGCAAATATCCAAATAGAGATTTCCTCTGAATAGCCTTTCTCCCCCACCTGATTTGGGGTTCAGTGTAACTTAGAAGTTTGCATCTTTTAAACTACTGTTGGGTCCAATAAAATCTCACCGTCCCACCAATTCCGAGACCACCCCTACCTTTACTGCAGTGGGCAGAATGCTAGTGGCTTTAGTTTAAACTCAAATATTTCTGTTGTCCAAATCTGTCTTAATCCCAAACATGGGAATGTGCCTTGAATGAGGTCAGCTCTCCTTAATGAATTTAGCACTATAAAAAGAAGAAGAGAGGACACCTCCTCCAGCCCCCCCCCTCCTCATTGTCTGTGCTTGTTAATTACGGTCACCGATGAATAGAAAGCCAGGGTTGTAAGAGCTCTTCCATGACTTGCTTTCAAACAAGCTGAATCCTTAAATCAATGAAACCGAAAAGTATGCTTATAAATCAATCAGACTGCCTTGGGAATTGATTTCACTGAACAAGGGCCTTGTCTGGGCTTCTTTCTGTTTGATTTTAGTTTAGTTAGGCTCAGTATATTGCTTTCTGTGGTTTGTATATTTCAATTCTGGCCCTTTCTTTAAGAATGAAAGAGAATGCAGGCATTTAAAGGGAACAAATGGGAGGGTTAATTGCTAGCCATCTGCCCCACAGTGCAGGTATTTTTTCCACACTAGAACAAACAAGAGTTTTGAAGCTCTTGAGGACTCTAAACATATAAAGATATTTTTGGTCCTTCTTTGCATCTTAGCTTATATGATCAAAATTTTCTCTTGGAAATAGCAGAGAGAGATTAGTCTACCACTGTAAAAAGAAAAAAAAAGGAAATGCATGATTAAAGTGTAAAAGGACATTATGCCGTGTGTTTCTATAACTGCAACAATAATGTGTTCAAGTAAACTAATAACCAGACCCTAGGACAATTCTGGTGAGCTGTTAGATTGATAGTTCTGGCACCATGAGATGAGTGAAAAATAAAATGGATTCATAACTTGTTATGTATATATAACCATCCAAACCACCTTCCACTTATGTAAGGATGCATCATAAGAGAATAAATAAACCTCAAAGGAAACCAATTCACCAGACTTCCAGTGGGCTTCAGGGATCACTTGTGTATAGAACGCAACCATAATACAAGAATGAACAATCCTTCATCCTGCTTTCATAGAACAAGCAGCAAGAGGTTTAAAGACAAAGATGGAACATTTTTTCGGAGGGAGGGAGGACTCCTTACCTCAGTGGCCGCAATGCAATGTAAATTAAGCGTGCATTGATTTTAATGCACTTTGCTATGCACAGAGTTGCAGCCTAAAGTTCTGTTAATTTTATCAGCCGCCTTCCCAACATCTCAAAGCATCTCACAGTAAACAAGACAAGGTGTCACGAGCACAGTAAAACCACAAGACAAGTACACATCCTGGCTCATAAAAATAGAGTACAAAGTGACAACAATAACATCCACGCTGCAGGTGGCTCCAGAAGAGCGTCATTGATGTGCTTAAAATATGTAGCACTTATATGGTGCTCTCAAGTGTTCAAAGCACTTCATATCTTCTTATAACGCGTAAGAAGCCTGTAGGGCAGGTAAGTTGCATTATCTTCTCTATAGTGCTCCAAGGATAAGCAGTTGAGATGGTTTGCCCAAAATCACCCAGAGAAGTTCACCCAGGGGATAAGATTCAAACAAGGGATTTCCTGATTTGTCGTGCATGCTGCAACTCTATGCACATTTACCTGGGAGTAAGTCCCATTTGAATGCATAGGTTAGCACTGCTCATTTGTTAGCCACTACACTGCGCCAGCTAACCTTGATCCACTTCAATTGCCCTTGGGGGTTTCAACTTCTACACCACCTACCCTGGTTACCTTAGATCCCACCTCTTCATTTGAGAGCAATGGTTCTCTTACAGCATTTCTCTCAAATATTATTTGCATGGCAAGCTCCATGTAAAGCAGGGATGGGGAACATTTGACCCTCCAGATGTTGCTGAACTACAACATCAGCCCAACAAGCATGGCCGAGCACACAGAAGGTTGTTGTTTGAAAGTACCTCTCCCCATTGAAATCTCTCCACCTCTGGACAACCACAACATACTAGAGGTGAAATGTAAGCCAAGAGCTTTTCCCTGACCTGCTAACTTTCCATATGCTGGGATATTTTGACACAAGGGTTCTTCTTCTTCATCCTCCTCCTCCATGAATCCGTACAGAGATTTTTGCAGACCTGCCCGTCTATATAAATTCAACAGAGCTGGTGTAACAAAGGGGCTTAGAATATTTAAGGCGGGTTCTTTCTCTGTCTTTCTTTACAACATCTCACAACCATCTTTCGATATACATCTCTTCAAAGTCTCCCCATCACTTTCTGTTGTTTGCTTCCCTTATCTACATAAGCCATGCAGTTAGTTTTAGATCATCCACCCATTGCATAGGTGTCCTTTTAAAGTGGTAGGGGCTCCACATTAGGCACACGGTTCAAATCAGCCACAAAATCACCAACACTGCAATCCTTTGCAGGTCTGCTCAGCAGCCAACCCTACTGAATTCAATAACTTAAGTGGCCTTAGCCATATATATTCTGTTGGAAGCTGCCTAGAGGGGCTAGGGCAACCCAGTCAGATGGGTAGGGTACAAACAATATTATTATTATTATTATTATTATTATTATTATTATTATTATTATCAAGTCATAGTACTTTCAACACCCGATCTGAAGTATGACAGTAATGAGAACTCAGTTGATAGAGCAGACTTGTGGGTTCGAGACCCGCACTGGACAAAAGATTCTTGCATTGCAGGTGGTTGGACTAGATGACCCTCACGGTCCCTTTCAACTCTACAATTCTGTGATTCTGTCATGTCGACCTAACTTCCAAGGTTATGGCATGGCCTTTGAGGTCATAAATCTGATCGCTCTAAAAAGCAAGGACAGCCAATGTAGAGCTCTCCAGATGTTGCTGCACTAG